GGGGTGTAGCGATTTCTGTCCGTCAGTCAGTCTCTCGCTGTTTTCCCGCCCTCGGTTTGTCGCTAAGCTAATTGATTGTTTTGGGTCGGGGGTCCCGTCAGTTTTGGTGTGTCTGAGCTCAGAGGTCGCTGGCCTCGGCCCGCTCGTACAGGGCCCGCAGCTTCTCGAAGCGGGGCCCCCACTCCCCGAGTGTCTCCTCCCTCCTCCCCTCCCCTCCTCCTCCTCCTCCACCCCCGTCACCCACGCTCCCTCCATCTAGCCCTGCCGAGCTGAAGGAGCTCAGGGAGCCGGCGGGCGACCCCCCTCCCTCGGTGGAGAACACCTGCAGGGAGTCGAAGGGCCCCGTGTCCGGGTGCTGGTCAGCGTCGCGGATGATCTCACACAGGTAGCGCGCCAGGTCCTGGCTGGAGAAGGACAGGGAGCGGCGGGCCAGCTGGGACGGGCGGGCCTGGCCCTGCGCCGGCAGTCTGGTGGGGGGGACGTCCCTACGGAGGCTGGCCGTGTTGGAGGTGGCGGTGGAGCAGGAGGAGGCTGCGGAGGGGGGCAGGGTGGTGGAGCAGGTGGTCCGGCTGAGCGTGTCCAGCTGCTGGGCGCAGGGCGGGGCCGGGGGCGCCTGGTGGAGGAGATGCTGGTGGTGGTGGTGGTGGAGGGGAGGAGGGGGAGGGTGGTGCAGAGCTCTGGAGCGACAGTACTGGACCGACTGGGCCGGGCTCGGCTGGAGGGACTTCTGCAGCTCCGCCATGTCGTAGGCATTCTGAAAACACAAAAAACACGGCCATTATCCAAGTATAATTAAGTGATGATTATATTTGTATGCCAATATTTTACTATGGTAAAGTTTTCGTTTTGCACTTTTATTTGGATAGTAATAAGACCGGAACTCTTATTTTGAAGGAACTTTTACCGGAAGTCAATGGACAACGGAGCAGTGTAAACACACATGTATAATGACAGATAGATGACGAATAAATTAACATATGCTAAATAGTTACATTCTGTTTTTAGCACCTGGCTGATAAGGGCATACGTTCTTACGTTGGTAATGATTGTATACAAGAAAGGGTGTGCAATAAACAGATACCATCAGTTGGAGAGTCTCATTCAGCCGCTACAATTATTATAGTGAATGTTTAAATGATATCAATAAAGATTAAGCCCCAGAAAGCACATGGCTACTTAGCATGCAAAATGACAACATTCTGCATCTTAAGTAGCCATGTGCTTTCCTGTTATCAGCTGAATCTTTATTTATTGATTTGATCACATTACTCTGATGATAGTGTTCAAGACAGCCTATACAGTATGTCTGAACTCGATCCTTAGAGTAATGTGTTACGGAGCCTTCTCTTCAATCTTTTTTCCACATAACGAGCATTTTGCGCTGCTCTTTCCCAATGTGAAAGCAAAATCTATGAAAGCATACAGCACGATGCAGGGTGTGTCTCTGGACATCTCTAGACTGGAATAGCGGGGGCCAGTACGTGAACTCGCCTCGCAGGTGCACACGCCAGGACAGAGTACATCTGACTCGAGACAAAACTTGCTCGAATCCGAGTCCAAGTCGGAGCGTCAATGTACAAGTCGAGTCCGAGTCATCGTGCGTGAAAAATTCACAAGTCCGAGTCCGCGTCAATCAGTGCGCGAGTCCGAGTCGAGTCTCAAGTCCCGAAAATCGGGTGGGGGGTGTTACCTTGGTTTATTATTGGCTAGTGGTTACAGCCAAATAAACGTTATGACATCATAAAGTGGCCGGAATTTGATCAGCTCATTTTCAGACAGGTTTTTATATAAATGGATCAGGACAAAAAGTGAGCAAATCTTTTTTTCCTGAAACTTTCAGAATCTCTTTACACAGAGCGGACACATGTATAAAAGATATTAAAAAGTGGATTTTGCAGAATAGGAGACCTTTTTAAAGTGTGCATGTTCTTACCAGTCTGTATTTCTGTAGTGTGTTGGCCTCTCTGGTCAGCCACGCCTCCACAGTGGCTCTCTTGTTCAGGAGGGCGGGCTCCCGTAGCTGTCTGTCAGCAGGGGGCAGCGTGGCCAGGCTGGTAAGCTGAGCTGGGAAGGGGTGGGGTTGTTGCCATCCACAAGGGGGAGGGGTGGGGGAAAGGGAGTTGAGATACAAATATTTAACCTACGCACGTTCAGTGTACATACATGACACCTGAAGTGATAATGACTTAATAAGGATATCTCCCTCTAGGATCATGCAGATGTCATAACAACTAGGCGTTGATACACACCTATGCAAAGGTTGCTGATTATAGGTATAAGTGTTTGTTTTCCATTGCTGATTTACAGGATTCAATATATTACAGACAGCTGTGATATGTATGTTGGGTGAGGAATTATCTATTTTATTCAAATTTGATTTTCTAATATGACATTTACAAGATTCAAAGCCTTGTTAAAAAAGCACAAACTACTCAGTACTCTTAACTTGTTTCTTTTTTGTTTTACAATTTGTATTACATAATAACCATTGACTTTTTTTCAAGTGAGAAAAATTGAGAAATGGTTTATCCATCTTAAATTCTAAATGTATCTAGAAGCATTCAATCCTGTTTGGCATAATGATATGATGGATAACTGTCGAATAACCGATTATTGAACTGTTGACAATTTTTCTGTCCCTTCACAGTCAAACTATCAGCTCTTCCTCCCAGCAGCAGTAATGAGATGCAGGTCCCGGGGCCTCACCCTGGATGCGGAGGCTCTCCTGATACTGGATGATGAAGTACTCTTGGTTGTGCTGGAGCTTGCGCAGATCGTTCTCAGTGTCCTGGGTCAGCAGTCGAAGCTCCTCAAAAGCTTGGTTGATCTGTTGGTATTTCTGAGACATGCTGTCCATCATCCCGCCCACTGGAGAGCTCGACTGTCAATAACAAAGTGCGATTTAGAGACAGGCACGGAGAGACACGGAGGAAATGGCGGGTTTGGCAACAGTAATTGGTAAGGTTGCGTGGCCTGTGTATTGTCTGTCAGTGGGTTGTTTATGATGGTTGTTATGGGAAATGGCTGGCCTGAGCTATTGGGGATATCTGTGGGGGATGGAGCATGCATTTGAAACCTAGCTGGACTTGATGAATTGACCACTACGTGTGTCAGTTGAGCTATTTGACTGTGAAATCCCCAGTGACCACAAGCCTGATGGAACCACTGTAGATAGAGAAGGAAGTATTGCATCTGCTTATCATCCTCAGGCAGACTGCATGGGCAGTTAAGGCTCTGAACAAGCACAATATAGTTCCTTAAGGTTCAGGCTAAATACAGATACATTGAATCAGTCAAAATATGCATTCCACTAATAGAAAAAGCCTGTTGTGAATGGAAATCAATTCACCGCAGGAGTTATATAAAGTCACATGTTTTATGCTCTGATGGCTCTAAGGTTTTATAACTCGGTGCCTTTTATAAACCGTGAAATGGTTTCTTACCCTCTGTATTGCAGTTATGCAGTGAAGCTATACTAAAGGTTTACTTAAAAACCATAAAACAGCATGATTGAATAAGTATGAGTCTCCCTAGGTATCTGATTTTAAATAATCCAAAGGAATCTGCAGAGCTGGGGGGATAAATGGAGGAAACACAATTACCCAACCTCTGAATCAGTCACCATTATGTAGTTCAGCTTCTGTTTGTGCTTGCAGGCTTTGTACGGGCTATGAAATGAATAATGCATGGAGAAGCCACAGGTGTTTGTCTAAGCAAGGTTACATTTCAGTGGGGGTGTCTGGTGTTGACAAATGAGCCGAAGCGTGCACACAGGTGTCAGTTTATATATGTTTTACAGCACACGCATGCATCCTACTCACATTGGTGGCCTCTCTGACGAGCCTCTGCTCTGTGTAGAGGATGTGTTTGATGCATCGGACCAACTCCAGAGGACAGCGGTCATACGTGCTCTGAAAGACAAGGAGAACATGTGCCGTGTTAGGACCTATTAGCCTCTGACGAGCGGAGCGGCCGGCGCACACAGGACTCGCCAATTTAGTGGCATCAAGGAAGCTCGCTAAGTTCTGGAGCCAACACGGCAAACACTAAGAGCCATTAGAAGAGCCTAATGAGACCCATCTCTGAGGCACGGCGCACTTCATATACCATTCATTAGCATGAACACACATTGTCACGCACACTCCAGAGTCGAGTGGTTTATGTGTTACAGTAATATGTTATCCTCTGATGAGAAGGGAATCAATTCACAGTTTCACTTTCAGTTAAAAGATTCTGTCGAAAGGCAGTTTGTGATATTTTTGTTGTTTCCTGTTTTAAGTCAAAGAGTGATTTAACAGCTGAGTTGCTTTAATTGTGTATAACTCAACACAAACCAACCTTAGATGATAAAAACAGCATCAGCAGTTTTGGTTTCCATAAAGGACACTTTTTATATTTTATACTCAACCACATCAGTACTGCATATGCTCACAGTCCCAGAAGGGAAAACTGAGTGGTAGGAATTTGGGATTGCAGTTTGATGTTACACTGCCAACCCCCTTCACCCTGTTCCTCTGGCCACAGAGGGGAGAAGACAAACAGAAGAACGGATCTGGGAGCAGGATCATAAATAGCAGCGCTGGCTGGCTACCAAGGCCCTCACTGGGTTGTCTTCTTGTTTTCCTCATGGAGGATACAACCTGTTCTGAAAACATATTGTCCACTGCGTGCTATTTCTAAGAACTACTCGCAAACAGTTGTATCCTTCAACCCCTTGCTTAAAATGTTGCCACACTATTTAAAAGGTATTTTGTGAAAACATGATCTCATTTAAATAATCATGCAGAGATGTTTTCGTCTTATTTTATTGTATGAACAGTAGTTACTTCATGATCCAGTGTTTTTTGTTCTTTTTACTTTTTCAAATTAAACTCTAAGCTAAATGAAATCCAGGTATTTTACTTATAACTAACTGAAAGCAGTTGATATACAATCTTCCTTTGTTCTTTGTGTGTTCTTAAACCCTGGCTGTACTGAACCTCATGCACTCTCTCTCTCTGCAAACCAGCCACAAAGTGTATATTTAGCTAGTGAGACACTGTATATTTCAGGGTATAAAGTGCTGTTCTCATGATTGGTTAGGTACATTTCCAAAAGACTTACCTTGAGCTGGCTGGCGTAGTGTCCCAGTTTGATTTTGAGTAGAAAGCCGTCCTCTCCCACCTGGTGCTCGGCCTTGTTCTGCAGCTCCTGAATCAGACTGTCCAACAGGCGCTTGGCCTTGAACTCTTCCTGTGGGTTCTCCAGGTCTATTGCATCCCTAACAACACACACACACACACATAAATAAATGCACGTGGCTAATAAATGAAATCTAAGATGTTGAAAATAGCAAACAAAGAGCCAATTGTGAAAATATGGACACACACACACACACACACACACACACACACACACACACACACACACACACACACACACACACACACACACACACACACACACACACACACTATTAGGTTTTTGTGCTGCAGAACAACTCACCAGAGCTGGCTCTCTATCCACTGGGACAGATAATGTCGCACCTCGATGGGGAAGTGCTGACCGTACAGAGACTGCATCTGGTGCAGAGCATCTCCCTGGAGCTGCTGGGCCTGGATCCACACTGCCATCTTCAACACCCTGAGGTTGACAAATAGATTGTTATCAATAAGAGAGCGAGAAACACAGTTAAAGAAAAGAGCAAGGTGATGAGAGAAAAGATCATTTAAAGAGTCCCAATTATGCATCTTTAGGTTTTTCCTTTTCTTTGTTATACAGGGTTTTGTGCATGTAAATGGACTGCAAGGGCTAAAATCCCAAAGTTCTAACACATTGTACATGATAGGTTAAGGGGCAGGAAATCTCTAAGCGGTTGATCAATCACAACAGAGGGTTAGGTGGAGCTAGTGGAGCACGCTCAGGTACTGCGGAGCTCATAAAGCAGACTCTTCACGCTAACGAAGGATCACTTCTTCTTCAGGGCAGGGAAGGTTACGCAGTGCGCAGGCTACTGTCCCGCAGGTGCTGCCTCTCTGTTGGACTCTGTTGGGGAGGGGGGGGTGCATGTAGTGATGCTTCGGAGCATGTGTCGAAGCTTTTTGTGAAGCTTGTATCGAGCTTGTATCGTTTTTCGGCGGGTGACGTCACCGATGACAAACGAAGCCTCGCTGCCCCTCAATACCATGTGACTGATTTTCAGAAAGTGCTTAGATCGGTTGAACCACAACGCTCAAATTACCCATGGATGTTGGGATGCTCCCTTCACTGGCTTCCAGTAACTGCTAGAATCCACTTCAAGACACTGGTACTTGCGTACCATGCTGCGAATGGATCTGGCCCTTCCTACATCCAGGACATGGTTAAACCGTACACCCCAGCACGTGCACTCCGCTCT